GGGGGTGGGACACTTGTGGCCTTCCAGATGTTTGCTGGACTACGGCTCAAATAATCCCTGACCACTGGCCATGCTTCCTGGGGGTTTGGATGGGAATCGAGCTGTTGGAAGTGAAACAGCAGGGATCATTCAGTTTGGAGCTTAAGGGTTAATTCTGTTAAAGTCAGCTATCCAAGAGGGAGACTGGTGGAGGTGTTGCTTTAGCAACCAGTCAGAATGGCATGACCTTTGCTGAGGTAGTACATATTCTGGCTGTGTAGTTCTGAGGGAGTGCTCCCCTTGTGTGTTTCACCCTGAAACCCTCCTCACTTGTTTCTTGGGATGTGTGTGTGTGTGTGTGTGTGTGTGTGAGAGAGAGAGAGAGAGAGAGAGAGAGAGAGAGACAGAAATCGATCTGCATGCTCTTCCTATTACAAGGTCTATGTCTTATCATGGGTTGCATGCTAGCTGAGTTAATTACACTAAATTAGTTGTTAGGAGACCCCAATGCCCTCACAGAGCTACTATTCCCAGAGTTCCCTAGGAAGAAGGATTGATTGTTAACCTATTCTGGGAATTGTAGCTCTGTGGGAGGAAAGGGGGCGTCTAACAACTCTCAGGTCTCTCAACAAACTACAGTTCCCATGATTCTTTGGTGCAGAGGGTAGTCGTGACTGTTTAAAGCGGCATCATAAGCGGCATGTCGCCTAACATAGCTTGGACCCAACCCCATGTCTATCCACATTTTTCCCCAGTGTACCTTTATAACACCTGTCTTCTTTTCTCAGCATTGTGGGGAACCGCCTGAGCAAAGCCGGGAGAGAAGTCCTCTCCGAATTGAGTCGCAGGAAGCCGGAGCTCAAGATCATAAGCAGTTTCCTGTCCGACATGGGGCTGCTGCAGGCATATCTGGATTGGGTGGAAGAGATCAAAGCGGACCAGGAACAGATGGAGTCAGTCAAGAACGCTGACGCCTTGCGTTCTGTTCTGGAAGTTCTGGAGGAAACAGAAGATCCGGGAACCAGCCAAGAAGCTCGGGAAAGAGCGGAGCTACTGAAGAAACAGATCACTGTCCTCCTGGGGGAGGAGAAAGCAAGAGAAAATGGGACCCCGTGATGTCTACTTGGCTTCACCTGTCCTGCAAATGGAGGCATCTACTGGGAGGATAAGGACACCATCTCAACGGGTGTATTCTGCAACAGGTTGCGGATGCAATATTAGGGCATTAGTGGTAGATTTGTACTGGACCGTCCACACATCATTCTGCCGTTGTTCTGCGATGCCTCATTAGTGTTACCTTGTTCTTGCTCTATAGCGCAACATTCCCCCAGGGGTTGTTAGGTATGAAAAGTTGCTGAACTTCCAACAGGAAGCTACTACAGGGCGTGTAAGCGATTAGAAATGAAGCCCTGAAATGTTTGAAGGTGCAAACAGTCCTGAGATCAGGATCATGTGCCCCAACATTAGCACAAATCCTTGTGGGTGCCTTTGTCTGCCCTACCTGCAATAGAACGTGTCTCTCCTGTATCTACAGCCACAGCAGGCACTGTAATTCTCCAACGGTTTGACGTCACCCCTGAAGGCGCAATCTTCCATTGTCTCCCGGAGACAGACGGATGCCAACTGCGCATCTGTGGACGCACAATATAAAGGACCTCTGGATGGGCACCTCAGCCAACCCTCAGCTTTTTCTGAATATGGAATCTCCCTACCCTACTCAGCCCCTCGGACACAGGAAGCTGGCTTTATACTAGGTCAATTTATTTGTTTGTGCTCTGTGCTAGCAGCTGCTCTTGGGAAGACGGATCACCATGATGGGCACATCTGGGCCTCTGCGGTCAGAGAGGGGACCAAGGGCCACTGGGAGCCGGCCCCACTGCCTCCCAGGAATAACATTTTTTGTTTTTTGTTTAAATAGCTTTTATTTTGCTATTAAACAGGTACATATAAATATAAACAACCAAAAATTACAAAGGAAAATTCCTTAATGGTAATGGAAAAAAACTACAAAAAGTATCGAAGTACATGACACAGAACATAAGCAACTATGGGAAATATAAAAGAAAAGGGGGGAAAAAGGAAAGAAAAAAAAAGATGAGCCAAAGCAGGAAAGCTCATCCATGTACACTTCTGTCAAGCTCACAACAGATCATTATTCTTATCAATTAACTCTATCTGCATTCCAAAGGAATCCCTCATTGTATCAGGGAGCATTTCTCTATGCGGTATCATTCTAAACATAGCCAGATCTTTCTTGCTGAGCCCTTGTCCCTTAAATAATTATTTAAACATTCCCATTCTTCTTTCACCAGCTTTTTATGCTTATCTCTTATTGCATCTGTCAGCTTTGCGAGCTCCAAGTACTCGCACAATTTGACTACCCATTTGACTACCCAGGAATAACATTTAAGGCAAGGGGGAGACCTCATTGGTCCTATTGATCAACTGGAGAAGGGGAAGCTGCGAAAAGGAGCTTGCTTCCTGAGAAAACACTGCAGAAGCAAAGGCGGAAGGACGTTGTGACCCCATCCTTCAGCCCAAGCAGGGGCTGGGAGCTTCTTTCACCCTGAGGACCACTGTGGCGTTTGCCCATTCTTTGGAGATACGTTTGTATTGGGGAGAGAGAAAGGGTTAATAGGTTGACCAATAAGAAAGCACGGGGCGGAGCCTACCTGATTTTGAGGCTCAGCCCAGAGGTTTTGACAGTTAGTTCGGTTGGTTCTTTTGGGAGGGGAGATAGAGGAGTCAGAGTGAGTTAGAGACAGGGACAAGACTGAGAGGGAATAGAGTGGCAGCATTTCGAATATTTTAAAACTTGTTTGTGTTTGAAATAAACTTTAAACTTCATTGTTAACTCTACCTGACTGAGACTCAGTACAGTGGTACCTCGGGTTAAGTACTTAATTCGTTCCGAAGATCCGTTCTTAACCTGAAACTGTTCTTAACCTGAAGCACCACTTTAGCTAATGGCGCCTCCCACTGCTGCCGCGGCGCCGGAGCACAATTTCTGTTCTCATCCTGAAGCAAAGTTCTTAACCCGAGGTAATATTTCTGGGTTAGCGGAGTCTGTAACCTGAAGCGTATGTAACCCGAGGTACCACTGTACTTCACTGGGGAGCCTTGGGTTTCCCCCCACAAAATTGGTGGCAGCGGAAGAATAAAGTAGTGGTGTACAGGTCAATAGTCCGTGAAACGACCGGGGGCTCTGTACGAACACCACAACCACATCCCCTTCTGATCAACCACCCAAGAGTCACAGGGCAGTGGTGGGTGGAGCCAGGGGCAAAAGTGGGTGGAGCAACACATGTAAGCTTATACACGCACTCTCTTCCATGTGCTCCATCCAGGCTAAAAGGGTGGGGAAAGGCACTATCTTTTCTTAAAGGCGCAGCATTGTTATTCCTGCCACCTAATACTAATACAGTGGGTGCTCGGGTTGCGAACGTGATCCGTGTGGGATGCGATTTAGCGCTTCTGCGCATGCGTGACCGCCGAAACCTGGAAGTAACCCGTTCTGGTACTTCTGGGTTTCAGCGGTCCACAACCCAAAAAAATGCAACCTGAAGCGGCTGTAACCTGAGGTATGACTGTACACAGATTTGCTATCATGAAATAACTGAACCTTTTGGGGGCAGAACAGCATTGGTTTGGGCAAAGCCTGTGCATAAATAGCCTCCTCCGCATCAGTTTCTGGACAGATAGTCTGTCGCAGGAGCAAGTTTTAAAGCCTAAGGGATTAATTTTGGCATGTTGCTTTTATGGCCTAGATTCCACATAATCAGATGCACAAAGTCTTAAACATGTCTACAGAATATACTCACCAAACCAGTGAGGCCTGGTAATCAATAGGACTAGTAGGGTGGGTGGGGGTGCTCAACAGAAAGTGAAGATGGAGCCATAGGGGGACCCACTCCATCCATTCAATACATGAATTTCCTGGGAACTGTATTTTCCTCCTCACAGAGCTATCATTCCCAGCACCCTTAAACTACAGTTCCCAGCTTTCTTTGGGGGAAGACATGTGCCTTAAACGTGCTTTGAATGCACTGTATGTAGGCAGAAACAGCTAATTCTAGGAAGCTGTGGGCAGTGCCACCTCCTGGACTGTTTAATAAGTAACAAGGCAGGCGGGAGCCGGGTGGGGAGCTGGCTAAAGCGGGAGAGCGGAGGATATCACTGATATTAACTGGGTATACGGTAATACTTTACGCACGTCAGACCTCCTCACTGTGCAAACTGTGTCCGTGTTTGCTTGTGCAAATTACAGGATTTTCTCGAGTCTAATGCACCATCGAATCTAATACACAGCTCAGTTTTCAGAACCTTGAAACCAAAAACAGTAAAGGTAAAGGTAAAGGGACCCCTGACCATTAGGTCCGGTCGTGAACGACTCTGGGGTTGCGGTGCTCATCTCGCTTTACTGGTGTACAGCTTCCGGGTCGTGTGGCCAGCATGACTAAGCCGCTTCTGGCAAACCAGAACAGCGCACAGAAATGCCGTTTACCTTCCCGCCGGAGCAGTACCTATTTATCTACTTGCACTTTTAAGTGCTTTTGAACTGCTAGGTTGGCAGGAGCTGGGACCGAGCAACGGGAGCTCACCCCGTCACGGGGATTCGAACCGCCGACTTTCTGATCGGCAAGTCCTAGGCTCTGTGGTTTAACCCACAGCGCCAACAGTAGTTGCTGGCAAATGTAAATGTGCCATCGAATCTAATGGCCGCCTTAATTTTCGCAATGTGATTTGGCAAAAAAGAAAATAAAGGGGGGGGGGAGCGAACATTAGATTCGAGTAAGTACAGCAATTCCCTCCCCTCTCGTCAAAGGCATGAAGCAAACCATCCCGACCCTAATGCAATGAATTAAAAGGATCAGGGCCGTGGTGCAAAGATCTCTCCGCCCCCCCCCCCCGGTTTCCCAATGTATTTTACAGGGAGAATAGTCATTTTGTAACAGACTACAAATCCTAGTCACAAAAAAATAGGATTGGGGGTGGGGGCTCAGCTTTATAGTTATGTTTTGAGCAGGAAGGGAGTCTTGGTGCCAAACTGCAGGTTAAGAAAGAAAAAGGTAAGAAAGAAACTGAGGTAGGGTGAATCCCCTTACTACCGCATTCTTTTCAATGAAAGCTTGCTTTTTCTTGCTCCCTCATTGTCTTTGCCATTTCCCCAAATTTCAAGTCTTCTTCCTCTGATGTTTTTCTTCTTCTTCCCTGCCTCTTTCTGTGTTACTGCAATTCTTATTTTCTCTTCCCTCTTTCATTTCCTTTCATTCATTTTGGGGATGGGCAGTATGCTGGCTGCTTGTGGGGGATGGGTCAGAGCTTAGAATAAACCCCACTTACACTCCCATATTAACTCCCCACCCCCAATGTACACATAAGAGTGCAAAAAGATGGTGACATACAGCATCATCCTATGCTTGTCTACTCAGAAGCAAGTCCCATTCAGTTCAATGGGACTTCTAGATAAATTGATACAGGATTTCACAGGATTCAATCCTAAGGACATGCTTAATTGGGGCTGAGGAGCTCAATGGGGCTTACTTCCGAGCTATCCTCTACGCACTTTGGAGTAAGAACCACTGAATTTAATGGATCAGACTCCTAAATATATATGCATATATATGCATAATTAACCAAGTTATGTGGAGATGCAGGGTTTGAACTCTCTAACCCCTGCACTAGCTGTCCACAGAAAGTTATTTACACTCTCAACCATTTATTTGGAAACCTGTACTTTTTTTCTAGGGAAATGCATGCCCCTAAACATTTTGTGAATCTCTGTACTTTTGTCCATTTACTGTATTTCTTTTTCCCTATTTGAGCTATAAAATGGTGCTTTTCTTGAGTCAAAATAAGAGTACCCCTAAACATTTTTTTAAGAAAAAAAGCACTGAGTATTACAAATGTTAATACATTATGCATTGCAATTAGTACTATACTAGAAGTACTGCTAGTATATTATTAATGCTACTACACCCCTATACTAGTAGTAACATTACCCTAGCAGCATTGTTAATACTAATGATAAATATTATTAGCACCACTAGATTATCAATGATGATAATAATAAGTATGCTACCTTCCCCCTTTTCGCGCTCTTCCCGGGTTTCGCGATGTGCTTCTTGAAGCCCCGCCCCTTCTTCTAAGTCTCTAGGCCCCTCCCCCGTAGGCTAATTCCAGCGCTCCAATTGGTCCTGCCCCTCCTATGTATAGAAACGAAGTCTCTGGGAGCCGCCCTTCAGCGGGAGCAACTGCGCATGCCTGGGCGTTCTTTTGCCCGGGTCCTCGTGCAGCAGGAGTTGCTGTTGGGCGCGAGACAGCGAAGCGAAGCGGATTGCAGGTAAAGCGCGGGAACCGGTCGCAGCCGGGTGCATGGGAGGAAGGCGCCCTGGGTGGGTTTGTGTCCCCAAGCAGAGGCTCTTCGGGGGGGAGGAAAACATCCGTTCTAAAAACCCTTTATCGAAATACGCAGAGTGACACTTCTGTGCCCCTGTCTGGCCCGAGCCCCTTTACTCTGCGAGCCAGCAAATTTGATGCCTGCACGGCTCTTCCCAGACACTTTGCTCCAGCGGCCCAGCGACTGCTTGTAAGGAAAGAAAGGCCTTTTGCACGTAGGCATTTTGGGAATAGTCGCAGGCGTGGGAATGCACTGTAAGGAAGGCAGGTGGGGCTGCTAAGGTTCAAAGTAGCTTGCAAAGTTGCTGTTCTCTAGGACCCTCTCCTTCCCCAACCCCCTCTTCTGCGTGGGCTGCGTGCAAAGACAAACCCAAGAGGAAAGACGCTCAGTGCATGCCTAAAGGCGTTTTCTTTACTAATGATTGCATGGGTTGGTTTCTATGCCATTAGTTCCAACGGGATAAAAATGTTTTGTGGACACACGCACCTCATATGCAAGTGTGTCTCTTGCTACATACACCACTTAGAGGCTACTGTGATTCAGCAGCATACAAATGGTTGAAATAAATGACAAAATACAGTTTTTTAAAAAATTAACTTGGTGGTATCTGAATGTATTCCAAAGAAAAAAATCAAACACTTTCCCATCTTTGCCAACTCAATCTTTTGCCTCCTTCAACACAGATATTGTGGAGTAGGAGAGCCTGGTGGTCTGCTTATTTTTATTATCTGCATGCAGGGGAATTAAACATAATTTCCTAGCAACCTGAGCTTCATATTGGGGTGAGTTGTCTTTGGAGGTAGAGCGACGTTTACACTGAACTCCTTGATATGTTTACTCAGGAATAAGTCCCATTGAGCTCTTTGGGACTTACTCTCAAGTTGTCTTTGCAGGATGGGCGTCTAACCTATTTGGGGACTGAGAGGCTATCATCCTATTTCTGGTCAATGTGAGGACTGGCAGGACGAAGATTTGTTTCCCCATTAAGATGACAGGCTCCTGTCCAGTACTTCTTTACCCAGTGTGGTGTAGTGGTTAAGAGCGGTAGACTCGTAATCTGGTGAACCAGGTTTGCGTCTCTGCTCCTCCACATGCAGCTGCTGGGTGACCTTGGGCCAGTCACACTTCTCTGAAGTCTCTCAGAGCTACTCACCTCAGAGTGTTTGTTGTGGGGGAGGAAGGGAAAGGAGAATGTTAGCCGCTTTGAGACTCCTTCAGGTAGTGATAAAGCGGGATATCAAATCCAAACTCTTCTTCTTTTTCTTCTTATCCTCCCACCACCAAAACTATTCTCCCACCACCTTCAGCATGAGGTGGGCAGAAGAATTTGCTTCATGGACCTGAATCAGACCCCAAACGGGGGGTTAGCAACCTCTGTCTCATGGTCTCTGCCCTTCAGAGAATAGAGGCCAGAGAATCGGGATTCCTGCTGTTAAAATTACTTGCTCTAGCAAATAAGGGGAGGTCTCTAAACTTGGCTTCTTGTTTCATCCTTTGCAGTTTCTACCTACCTGCAACCATTGCTGGGATCACACAGGCAGACCTCATGGCTGACGACAGAGTGACTAGCCGCTCGCCAGAGAGAAGGCCAGTTCTGGTCTCATCTACTTCATCCTCCAATGAGCCCACCTCTTCGGGGCTCTCCGGCAGCCTCCAGCCTTTCTTCCTGGGCCGCACTTGCGCACCAAGCAACCTCCTTTCCCTCACGGTGCCCGTGCGCTTGGACATCCTCTATGTCCTCATTAACGCTGCCAGAGGGGCACAGTGCCTCCCTCCTCCAGCACCCATTCATGACAGCGCTCAGGCCTCTTTCTCCACATGTCACGAGGCACCTGCTCAGTGCGCCATGAACTGCTGCCACCGACCGGCTTGCTGTTGTGTGCCAGGCTGCGCCAGTGGGCAGCACCAGCCTAACGGAGCCCAGCAGTGCGGAGCGGCTCCTGGAGGATACGGCAGCCACAGAGGGCCAAATGGTGGAGTCCTAGAGCGACAAAACGATGGGCGCCATTGGAACAGCGCTGCCGAAAGAAATGGTGGGAGCAGCAGGTCTGACTACAGCCAGCCACACGCAGCAGGGGGTTGGAACAGAGCCCTGCCCCACACAGGCTGGAGGGGGAGCCAAAGAGGAGAAGGAGAGCATGGGAATGGGGGTCGTTGGCAAGACAAGCGGCAGGATTTTGACAGGGCTTGGGGCAACCGGAGGCAAGGCGCTGTCGAATCAGGCTCTTGGAACTCAGGGCCGCAAGGGTGGAGGAGAGGAGGGTCTTCTTTTGGGTCCAGCGCTAGCAGCATGAAAAGGAACCAGGAAGGGAGCCGCTGGCAGAATGCGCAGGATGCCCCAGAAGCGAAAAGATGTATGTTTGGCGCCCGTGAGTGGCAGAAGACCCAAGGCACTGGGGATTCTGCTGGCTTTGTAGGCAAGGCTGTGGATGCTGGACCGGCCAAATCCGTAGCTCTGGAGGTTGGGGAAGACTGGGAGGCTGAGTATGAGAGTGAGCCAGCAGTCCCTGCTGCTACAGAGGGTGCTCCGGATGCTTCCCACCAGGATGACAAGTCCGACTCTTGCAAAGTAAGCGATGATGCGGAAGGTGAATGTGTTACATCTGCCCATCCACCCAAACCAGAGCTCTCTGTTTCTCCCCTTCCAAGGTCTGATGTGATGAACCAGGGAGCGTCAGATGCCAGGGGGAAGGAATGTGCTGCGGATTGGAGCAGCAAGGAAGACAGGTTTGCCACCTACCTGAAGAACCTTTATTCTGATGTGCCGGAGAAGTCCAGCTCCGAAGGCGACACAGATCTCGCCGTCGGCATAGCTGTTGATCCCCTGACACTGGATGAGGAGGAGCAGTCCCGAGAGAATGCAGCTGGCTCTCCTTGAGGGAACTGAGCAAAGCACACAGTACTCTGGGGAAAGGGGCAGAGGAAGAGATTGAGTGCCAGAAATCCTGATTGACAGCATGGCGGCCACCAGTGGCCTTAATTCAGCTGGTATTGCAAACTGGGAATTCCACACCCATCATGGGTGTTGAACTCAAACTTGTACTCAAAAGTGGACACACTGGAATTAATGAGCCTAAGGTGGCCACGTCTGTTAATTTCGGTGAGTCCACTGTTGGGTATGACTTGGGTTGGATGCATTGGAGTGCTGAGATGAGCACAGGCGATCTGTTCCCTAGATCCATTATTGCCCGCTTTAAGTTCAAAGGCAGCTGCCTGAAGTGGCAAAACCTCCTGGCAAGAACCCTGGGAAATCAGACTTTCGTATTTGTGCAGGGACCCTATTGGAGTGAGCCCCACTTCACACAGTAGCCCCCCAAAACTCCCAGAGAGCTGTTGGAGGTGGACAGACCCTAGTGAGCTTGTCCTCCTGCCCCATTTGTGGAATTCACAGGGCAAATGTGTCCAGCCATTCTAAACATTAACAGCTTGGGCAGGTCTGCACCACTGCAACTGAAGTACACCCAGTGCACATTTAAAGCATATGACGCCCCCCTCCAAAGAATCATGGGAATAGCAGTTTTTCCTTCACGGAGCTATAGTCTGCACCGTCTTTAAACTACAGTTCCCATGATTCTTTGAGGGGAAGCTCATTGCCTAAAACAGTGTTGGCCAAACTTGGGTCTCCAGCTACTTTTGGACTACAACTCCCATCATCTCTTGCTTGGGGTCAGGGATGATGGGAGTTGTAGTCCAAAAACAGCTGAAGACCCAAGTTTGTGAAACACTGACCTAAAACTTGAGTTGCGTGTGCATCAAATATATATGATGAGGATCTGCCCATTGCGTCGGTGTGACTTGCAGCAGAGGTACCATTTTGCGTTGCAATTCCCCTTGCAGTTGTAACATGAACTGCAACTCTGACATTGTAGTCAGATTCTGTTAGGAAAAGCCCACCAATGCAGCTAATGGACAGCATAATTTGCATCCCATTGAAGACTAAAGAATTGCAATGGGAGCCTCAGCGGTCCAGGGCGGAATTTTGCCACAACTTTACATTTTTGACTGGGTTGCAGCTGTTCAGTTCATCTTAACTACAAAGCGTTAAGTTTTTGGTTCTGTTTGCATTTAACGTAAGAGCAAGCTACAAAGAAAGAAGAAAGCAAAGGGAACTTTGCTGATTTAGTAACTGTTATATTGAAGGGAATCTGCTGTTTTGCAGACAATCAGCATTGCAAAGTTTTGATTTAGAAATCCAGAATGGGAAAAATCAGAAGGCGAGTCTGTGTGCAGGTAAATCTCATGATTCTGAGAGCTTCCCTGTGTAAAAACTAAAACCCTTCCTGTCAGAAAACAAGTTCTGCATATTAAATAGAAGAGTCTAACCCAGTCTTCTCTCTAACATGCCAGTTTTTAACAGGTAGGGAGGTTTATTTAATGCAGAAGAAGCATTCAAACATGCAGTTCTTCACCTGCCTTTTCCGTTAGCATCATCCCAAGAATTCTACGTCGCCCAATTTCTCTGCACAAGTGTATCTGCTCTAAGATGGTGAAGCTAACTTAGTACCATGGCTAGGTGCATTAAACTAGCAATCTAAAAACGCTTAAGGGTTATGTTGGGGTTTTCTAGGAACGTTTTGTTTTGAAAAATCCTTTTATATCTTGTATAGTGAACCTGGGTTACTTTGGAAAGCCTGAGATAAATGCCTCTGGCGAGTTTGTGATTTAAATCCCTTCATTGCTTCCAAATAGTTCAATTTCTGTTGGTTCAGCCTTCTCACCTTTTCAAGCTGCATAGATTACTATGTTTGTTTCAGTTGCATGAGGTTTTTCCTGAATTTGTTGCAATAAAGAGGAAGTTAACACACTTTAGAGCAACATGTCTGTTGTTGTTTTTTCAATAAAGCAGGTGTCGTTCTATCACTCGCCTCCCTCCATAAGTGAGCTTGGCAAGGGATACCATTTTTAAAACATTGGAATGGAAACTCATGAGTGAGGATACCAGGGCTATATCCAGATACACACTGACTTAGGAGTTGAGCCCATTGAAATCTTGGATTTATTTCTGAGTAGTTACTTGGTTAAACCAGTTGCTTTCTTAACATGAGTTCTGAGGCATCTGGGAAGATTATCAGGGATTCCTCACTTGAGAAGATCAGGAGTGGAAGGCAAGTTTTTTTTGTTTGTTTTTTTAAAGAGAACCAGAGTTTAGATGAGGTCAGCCATGCTTTTTTATTCTGTACAGTTCTCTCCAAAAGCAACATTAGGTTGATTTATGTTTATACATGGCACACTCTTGACTTAGGCTGTGGGTGGCTAGACAACACTTTCAAAAGGTTTTTGTTTTTTAAAAAAATAAGATTTTACTAAAGCCTTTTCATAATGCAATAAGATAAAAAAAACTGATCTTTTTAAAAAAAAACCAGAGGGGGAAAAAGAGAAAACACCAAAGGAAAACCACAAAAAAGAGAAGAAAATAAAAATAAAAAGGACTTCGGATTTTCTACCAAACAGTTACATAAAATACATTATTCAAAACATTCACTCTAGAATGGCATGCAACTGAGCTGCTTTATGTTAGGCAAATTTTCCCCCAATCTTCTGACTGAAGTAGATGAATTCATTTTCCTTTTTGCACAAAAAGTTCTCTATTTTGTGTATCTTGACCTTTGTTTTTGGCAGACTTGCACATCACTTTAAGTTGGGTGCAGCTTCCCACGTTTCTCTCACTTAAAACAAAAATGAGCCACCAAGTGGATAGTCATGACAGCATCAGACAGCAGTTGGGACAACTTTGTTTTGCACCCCGGTAGAGTGCAATTAATCACTAAAGCAGTATGTTATTACAGTAGCTTTACAAAACAGAAATTTGAAATGCTTGCAGCAAAACATTTTGGCTTCCCGCCGGACCGGTACCTATTTATCTATTTGTACTTCAACGTGCTTTTGAACTGCTAGGTGGGCAGGAGCAGGGACCGAGCAACGGGAGCTCACCCCGTCGTGGGGATTCAAACTGCCGACCTTCTGATTGGCAAGCCCAAGAGGCTCAGTGGTTTAGACCACGGTGCCACCTGCATCTTGAAGGAAGGTTAGCACAGGTTAAAAGGCAGTCTAGGAAACAGGGAGGTTCCTCTCGATCTTTCTTTCCCATGCAGACATATCAGTCTTTGATGCAAGCCGAGTCGCATCCTGACAGTTCCACAGTCGGGCTGCTCTAGTTTCTCAAAATCTGCTTCTCTACAGTTTCCACACACACATTTTAACTGAATGGAAATTAATTTCTCCCCCATCCATACTCTATAAATGGGGGCTGGGATGGAGAGACTATTGGGTTAAAGGTAAAAACAGGTAAAGGACCACTGGACAGTTAAGTCCAGTCAAAGGCGACTATGGGGTTTGTGGCGCTCATCTCGCTTTCAGGCCGAGGGAGCCGGCATTTGTCCGCAGACAGCTTTTCGGGTCATGTGGCCAGCATGACTAAACAGCTTCTGGCGCAATGAAACACCGTGACGGAAACACCGTTTACCTTACCGCCGCAGCAGTACCTATTTATCTACTTGCACTGGCATGCTTTCAAACTGCTAGGTTGGCAGAAGCTGGGACAGAGCAATGGGATTCGAACCGCGACCTTCTGATCAGCAAGCCCCAAAGGCTCAGTGGTTTAGACCACAGCGCCACCCGCGTCTCATAATCTTGGGCTACGTACGCATTAGCAGCTTAAAACACAGGTTGCTCTCTGCCGTTTTTCAAGTCACATTTCCACGCTGTTGCACACACACCAGATGTCTTTACCAATGTGTGTTACCTGCTTGACTTTCCTGCCCCTGTGCACACATGCACACACAAAATATCAATCATGGGAAATGGCTGTTTCAAATGTATACAATTCATCTTAAGTGTAAAGTGAATGTGGCTTAAGTTTTCCTTTTGGATTGAAGCTTGCTTTGAGGGAAATGGCAGAATTTCTCAAGGACAGGTTGGCTCTGCATCATAGGCAAAGTCACACGTACACGGGATTCAACAGGCAGCAGCAGGAGCACACAGGAGCCAGACTGAAAGGTATTGCATACTCTGCCCTGATTTGAGAGGGTTTGTTTGCAGTGCCTGTTCCCGTGAAATATAACCCGCTAGTTCCCCCTTGTGAACCATCGCAGCACTACATCTTGAAAAAATTAAGTCTCAGAATGATAGAATTGTGGAGTCCAACCCCTGCAATGCAAGAATCTCAACTAAAGCATCCATGACAGGCCTCTACTTTGTTTATATTCAGTATTCCTATGCTCCAGCAACCTAACAAAAGCTTAGCATGGTCCTCCCATCAGGTGTCAAGGAAATAAACAGCTGGCTTTTAGGAGACGCCTGAAGGCAGCCCCGTGCAGGAAAGTTTTTTATGTCTGAGGGTGTTTTTGTGTGCATGCTTTTACAATTTTGTTGAAAGCCGCCCAGAATGGCTGGGGCAACCCAGTCAGATGAGCAGCATATAAATAATAAAATTATCATCTTCATCAAATTAAGCTGTTACAAAGCAAATTTTGAAATTCAATACACCCAACAGGCAGTCTTAACAAAAAGTGTAAAAAAAATAGCAGCAGGAAACACATTAAAGATGATAGTTAATGTGCTAGCCGGAGGAGTGGGGGAATCAGTAAAATAACTAAAATTGATATTTTACATGGAAAGATACAGCGGTACCTCGGGTTAAGAACTTAATTTGTTCTGGAGGTCCGTTCTTAACCTGAAACTGTTCTTAACCTGAGGTACCACTTTAGCTAATGGGGCCTCCTGCTGCCACTGCGTGATTTCTGTTCTCATCCTGAAGCAAAGTTCTTAACCCGAGGTACTATTTCTGGGTTAGCAGAGTCTGTAACCTGAAGCATCTGTAACCTGAAGCATCTGTAACCAGAGGTACCACTGTATATTCTGTTTGGTGGACGTTCCTGTAGCCCATTTGGCACCTTGAATTCATGAGGGGAAAACGGGGACCTACTACCTCACCCTATGATGCAGCTCTAGGGCTTGGTAGCTCTTGTCAAATTTGTTTTCTCCTCTTTCCCAATCTTAATTTCAGCTTTTCATTCATCAAGGGACCGTTGGTTGTAGCCAGCTAAGTTCTACTTGAAGCAAACATGTTGAAATTAATGGACCGAGATGGACTGTGTTTATTCATTTCGATAGGTCTTTTCTGAGTGGGACTAGCATTGTCTTCTGCTCAGAAAAATACCACGGACGCTATACAGCCCCGATGTGAAAATAAACTGCTAGCAGGCTGAAGGAAATAATGTGTGAGCGCCTCTTCATCTTCCGCTGTGCAGTTCCTAAATGTAAGGGGATCAAATGCAGGCTGGTGGCTTAAATCCCCTTTTATTTCCACTCTGCAAGGCAATCCTCACGGGGTCTCTGACCCTGAGGCCTTCCTGCAGCTCCTGCCCTGGTCCCAGAGCTGGAGAGTCAGCAGGTTTCACTGCATTCAGAGTGCCAGAAAGGAGTTTGCTGCCTGTGCACATTTCCCTTCTCGAACCAACAGCGTCTCTCGTCATCTGTATCCTCCGCTCCCACCCCGGCTCCCCATCATTGGTCATTTTCAGTAAGGCGCTGGAGACGTTTGGGCCGAGTCAGCCACATGTAGCTGTCGGAGGTGTTTTGAAAAAAGGGTCTCGGCTCAGCTAAGACGAGAGAGAAGAGCAGCAAGGGAAGAGGCTCCTGGGGTCTGCAGGTAGGCAAAAGGGGTGGATGCTGAGACCACCCACAGGATACGTGTGGCTGGGGCAGAGGTGTGGGGTTGTTGAATATACAGAACACAACCTACCCCAAACTGGGGACTTTGCAACCCCATGTAGGGAGCCAGTGTGGTGTAGCAGTTAAGAGTGGTGGACTCGTAATCTGGCGAACCAGGTTCACTTCCCCGCTCCTCCACATGCAGCTGCAGGGTGACCTTGGGCTAGTCTTTGAAGTCTCTCAGCCCCACTCACCTCACAGAGCGTTTGTTGTGGGGGAGGAAGGGAAAGGAGAATGTTAGCCGCTTTGAGACTCCTTAGGGTAGTTTCCAACATATGTTTGACCCGGTTTTATACATTTTTGCTCTCTGTACTGGTGTGATATACCGTCTGTACATCATTTTCATATAGTTTTCTTTCAAAAGAGAACAATCTGTAAATTTCAAATCTACTTTCCACAATTTCCCCCAGTCCTCAGTTCCCAGTTGTGTTGATGCTGTGATTGTCAACCCCTCAAGTCAACATGAGTCATTTGTTGTTGTTTAGTTGTGTCTGACTCTTCGTGACCCTATGGACCAGAGCACGCCATGCGCCAACAGTGTGATGCAGCAGCAAAGAAAGCTAATGCTATTCTAGGCTGCATCAGCAGAAGTATAGTGTCCAGATCAAGGGAAATAAGAGTCCCACTCTATTCTGCCTTGGTCAGACCACACCTGGGGTACTATGTCCCATTCTGGGCACCAGAATTTAAGAAGGATGTTGACAAACATGCAGAGAAGGGCAACCAAGATGATCAAGAGGAGACTGGGAGATGTGATAGCCGTCTTCAAATATCTCAAGGGCTGACACATAGAAGAAGGAACACACTTGTTTTCTTTTGCTCTGGAAGGTAGGACTGGAACCGATGGCTTCAATCAACAAGAAAGGAGATTCCAAGTAAACATCAGGAAAAACTTCCTGACAATAAGAGCTGTTCGGCAGTGGAACAATCTCCCTCTAGAGGTGGTTGACTTTCATTTCCTGAAGATTTTAAAGCAGAAGTTGGATGGCCATCGGTCATGGATGCTTTAGCTGAGAGTCTTGCATTTTTTTGGGAGGGGGGGGAGTTTGGACTAGATGGCCCTTGGGGTCCCTTCCAACGCTACAATTCTACATCTTCCACCTCCCCCCCCGAACATCTCTTGCATCATTCCTAGCTGCAATTTCTCACCCCTGCCCCCTTGCTTATATATTTTCTGCATTTCTATCTCAATTTTCCCAAGGGTTCATGGCTAAGCTGGGATCTGAACCCTGGTCTCCCAGGTCCTAGCCCAGCAATCTAACCCAGGCACCCCCAAACTCGGCCCTCCAGATGTTTTGGGACTACAACTCCCATCATCCCTGGTTAACAGGACCAGTGGTCAGGGATGATGGGAATTGTAGTCCCAAAACATCTGAAGGGCCGAGTTTGGGTATGCCTGCTCTAACTGCTACACCACATTGGCCTTTCCAACAGCAACCCAGATTTTGCCGCCTTCTAATCGCTAAGCCACACTCTTATTCCTTCCAGCTGCTGCTCTCAGAATTGGACGAGGATGTACAGCTTCATGGGTGGGGGCTTGTTCTGTGCCTCTCTGGGGAACATCCTCCTGGTGGTGTCGACGGTGACAGACTACTGGATGCAATACCGATTGGCAGGTGCCTTTGCTCACCAGGGACTCTGGAGATACTGCTTTCCTGGCAAGTGCTACATGCAGCTGGAGAGCATTGGTAAGAGACAGCTTGGAGCCTGTGTGTGTGTGTGGACTGTGGGAATGTTCAGGGATGCAGGAGAGGATATATTGTTTGATTATAGCATTTCCAACTTGTGTAAACAAGTTCACAATTTAGCAGAGTAACATTCCCCCTTTTAAACTCACAACGGATGAATTTGCTCAGGCTCGCTAAAGCCTCTATAGTAACTGTCCTGGTATTTCCCCCTTATTCCCTTATAAAAGATAAGGCACAACACAGTCTTCTATAAAAGTATAAAAAGAGTTTACTCACTCACATTCTGTTCACAATCGGATCCCAGAAGGCAGACTTAGCTTAGAAAAGTTACATACACCTGGAAACTATCTCCTAAGGAGACAGTCCCTTTGTCCTCTCTCGGCTGGAGGCCAAGAGAGCATCTTTGGCTAAGCAGATGTTGCTTCTTCGACGAAAGTAGTCATAGAGAGAGAGATGGCTGCCCTGCCCTATGCTTTTGTTGTTACCTGCACAGGTGAGGCCATGCCCACCTCTGGTCCCATGCAGAGGAAGTCTGTCCCAGAAGGAAACAGGAAGTTTACCTGCTTGCTGGACAAACATTCCTCCCCATGTGTAAACATGTTCACTCTAGGAATGTTGTACTTGACTGCCCTTGTGTTTCACATCCCACATGGACCTCTGTCGCACATTGAAGAAGCTCAGTGGCGATGATCTGCTGATTTCACAAGCTAAGCTCTGCTCAGGGTTGGACCTATGTTAACCAGGCAGCACATAGTTTAACTATGGAACTCACCGCCACAGGATGCAGTTGTGGCCCCCGATTTGGACGGCTTTGAAAGAGGATTAGACAAATTAGACACTAAATGCCCTGGGTGAACAAGAACGTGTTCAAATTCCTCCTGAAATTTAATGATGGGAGGGAATGCTAGGGAGGGAATTCCACAACTGGGGAGCTGGCAGGGGAAAAGGCTGTGTCATGGGTCAACACCAACCAGGCAGCCCCAGATGGTGGCACCCCCTCTCCTAGCACTTGGGGGTGTAAAACTTACTAGTACTTGGGGGTGTAAAATTTGTACTTGAGGAGTTCAGCCATGGCCATCCAGTGCACCATAACCTCTAGGCTAGATTGCTGCAATGCATGGGGCTGCCCCTGAAGACAGTTTGGGATCTTCAGCTGCAGAATTCAGTGGCCAGGGTTCTCCCTGGGGCAAGATGGTTTGAGCATATAATGCAGATCCTGACCCAACTGCACTGGCTGCCTATTAGTTTCTGGACCCAGTTCAAAGCGATGGTTTTGACCTATAAAGCCATAAATGGCTCAGGACTGTAATAACACAAGGACTGCCTCTCTCCGTATGAACTTACCCGGACCCTGCAATCATAAATGGAGGCGCTTCTCTGGGTGCCTTCTCCACAACAGGTGTGGAGGGTGACCACACAAGAACAGGCCTTTTCTGTGGTGGCTCCCTATTTGAGGAATGCGCTCCCCAGGGAGGCTTGCCTGGTGCCTTCTTCACATATATGTGCCAGGCAACAAAAACATTCCTCTATTCCCAGACCTTTGGCTAATTGAATAATCTATGGCCTTTTAAACTCTCTGTATTGGGTTTTTGTTTGTTTGTTACTATGTAATGTATTTGTGTGTTTTTGTATTATAAACTGCCCTGTGATCCTCAAATGAAAGGATGGTATAGAAATTAAATAATTATTCAAAATATTTCTGTGGGCCATTCCTATTCTGCTCACCCTATTCTGCATTTAGCTAGGCATAGTATTCAGTAGCTCTCTCTTCTCTTAGTCTTATTCCCTGCAGCCTACTGGAATGCCACCCGGGCCTTCATGATCCTCTCTGCCCTCTCTTGTTTCGCTGGCATCATCACTGGCATCTTTTCCTTCGCCCAGTTCTCCGCTTTCCAGCGCTTCAACAGATCCTTTGCGGCCGGCGTCCTGTTCTTCGTTTCCAGTAAGTACCTCTTCTCTCAGTGGAATTTGCTGCCAAGGAGTGTGGTGGAGTCTCCTTCTTTGGAGGTCTTTAAGCAGAGGCTTGACAACCATATGTCAGGAGTGCTCTGATGGTGTTTCCTGCTTGGCAGGGGGTTGGACTCGATGGCCCTTGTGGTCTCTTCCAACTCTATGATTCTATGATTCTCGCACAGGTTGAGCTCTTTCTCAAAGCTGCACAACTCGAAGCAGCGCAGATGCCTAGAGGCAGATGCTGTGATTTCAGATGCAAAGACACAGGAGTATTCAGGTGAGGGCCCAGGTGCCACACCTGGGCTCCCAAGGTGGGATGGGGTGGGGGTGGAGAAGGAGGAAAGGGGGGAATTTCAAACAAAGATATATGCACACACATTATGTATTTAGATGTGTGTATACACACACAGTGCTTTTTTTCTAAAAAAATGTTTAGGGGTACTCTCATTTTCCTACTCATATTGAAATACTACCCCTCAATGAGGCCAAACTTAGATTCACAGAATGTTTAGGGGTACGCATACCCCTGCATACCCCCAGAAAAAGCTCTCTCTCTCTCTCTCTCTCTCTCTCTCTCTCTCTCTCTCTCTCTCTGTATCTATTAATGAATGAAAATATTTCAATTAAACAACATTAAGTGAAAAAATAAAAAAGGAAACCAAAATGCGAAAAACAGGAAACAAAAATGCAAAAGGAAACAATGCATAAAAAATACAAAAGCATAAGATTTAAAACCAGCCACCCTAATTCCACACATGTTTGCCTAAAACAACGGTATATCAAGTGAAATATATGTTCTAAATATATATACATTTCTTTATAATCTACTATGTTTTAAAAATAAATGCACTGGAACTGGTGAATGTAAATGCATTCTTTGTGCCCAAACTACAGCTGAAAGACTCATATTGATCCATGGGAAAGATCAATCTATGCCCCACCCTTTAATCAATGGATAGAAGATACGGCAACTCTTGCAAGACGTGAACAGATAGCTCATATAGACATACATTGCCTATATGTCTGTATGTCTAATATTGATAGGACCCGAAACAGGAAATGCCTCTTTAAGAGCCAGCATAGTGTCATGGTTGGAGTGCGCTGGACCGGGACCTGGGAAGACCAGGGTGCCAATCCCTGCTCAGCCATGAAACCCACTGGGTGAACTTGGGACAGTCACTTGCTCTCACCTTAACCAACCTCGCAGGGTTGTTGTGAGGATAAAATTGAGGGAGGGGAGGAGAAGTATGTTATGTCACCTTGAGCTCCTTGGAAGAAAGCTGGGGAATGAATGAATGAATGAATGATTGCCAGTCACTGGGAACTGCAAGTTGGACTTGCACTCAGTTGCACTCAGACCCTGCTTACGAAATTCCATTGAGTATCTGGCTGGCCCCTCTGTGGACTAGATGGACCTTTGGCATGATCCAACAGGACTCTTTTCACATTCTTGTTGTTGGCTCATCTGTTCATCATGTTAATTCTTCTTCCCTCCCTCCCTCCTCCTCTCTCCCTCTCATGTCGCAGCGCTCTTTGTCCTTCTGGCGATGGGGATCTACACTGGGGTCACGGTCAACTTCCTTGGCAAGCGATTTGGCGAGTGGCGTTTCTCCTGGTCTTACATCTTGGGCTGGGTTGCCCTCCTGATGACTTTCTTTGCAGGTGATGATTCTTGCGGGGGAGGGGGGAGAGAAAAATGGGTGAGTACGAAAGGAATGGCCCATTCTGAGGATCACAGGGTGGTTCACAATATTAAAAACATAGAAGAACATTACATAGTCACAAACGAAAACAATAACCCCAACACACACACACTTTAAAAGGCCATAGGTTATTCAATTAGCCAAAGGCCTGGTTAAGGAGAAACATTTTTGCCTGGCTCCTAAAGGTATGTAATGAAGGTGCCAGGTGAACCTCACCGGGGAGAACGTTCCACAATCAGGGAGCCACTGCAGAAAAGGCCCCGTTCTTGTGTTGCTCCCCTCTGGACCTTTTGTGGAGGAGGCACATAAAGAAGGGCCTCAGAAGATGATCACAGGGCCCGGGTTGGTTCCCAGGACTCCCTGGGTTGTGGGGGGTGGAACTCTTGTTTTTTAAATCTAGTGGAACCCATTAGCATTGCTCTGTTTCTATATTTTTATAACTTGATTTGCTTTATGTGCATCTGTTTGAATCAATATACTTTGGGGAGCGCTTGCAGGAGAAAGACAGGATATAAATTTGATGGATAAATAAATAAAGTTCAGTTCACTTTGTCATGCTAGTTTTGCATTGACTTTTGCTAGGATTCTGCTATGTTGCGTCCAATGGGAAATGCATTACAGAATTATAAAATTGTAGAGTTGGAAGGGACCTTGAAGATTATCAACTCCCTGCGTTACAGAAATATGCTGCTTCCCCGTACGGGGATCAAACCTGCAACCTTGGCATAATCAGCACCATGCTCTAACCAACTGCTATATTATTTATATATTATATTATATTATATTATATTATATTATATTATATTATATTATATTATATTATATTATATTATATTGCACCTTCTTTTCTCTCTCCTCCAATGTGCAGGTATATTTTACATGTGTGCCTACAAGATGCACAAATGCCAGCAACTGGCTGTGAACCGCTAGGATTTCGGCACCCACCATGGCTCTGCAATGTTTAAAGAACTGACGTGTGAGAGGTAGAGAATGGTGTTGTGTGAAAAAAAGAGAAATGGCTCTTTAAGAAATGATCATCATTTGAAGCAAAGAAGCTCAGCTGGAATCCCATGGTTCAGATTTCAGCCCAGCTATGCACTCACTGGGTGACTCAACATCAATGACTGCAATACAGAAATAATGACACTGGCCTACCTTACAGGGTTGTTGTAAGGCTTACTGTATGGTGATGCACAAGAAATGTTTGGAGAAGGGGCTTTTCCTGGGAAGGAAGCAAAGCAGTCAAAGAAGAGCTTCAGTGCACATTGTGGAGCTGCTGAAAGCCTTGATCCATTAAAAAAAACCCACTGGTAACTCTGGTCCAAACTGATGTCATTATTGTCTTCAGCTTCCTAGCTTAGTGATGCCATGTCATATAGCAGAAGTGAGGAAGGTCCTGCTACTTTCAGAGCTTCAGGTTTAAGTGATATTGCCAAACCATCATTTCCACTAACCGTGATTTCGATCACAAACCATTATTTCTGTTGCATATGTAAAGGTAAAGGTAAAGGGACCCCTGACCATTAGGTCCAGTCGTGACCGACTCTGGGATTGCGGCGCTCATCTCGCTTTAGTGGCCGAGGGAAGCTGACGTACAGCTTCCGGGGGCCTGACTAAGCCGCTTCTGGCGAACCAGAGCAGCACACGGAAACACCGTTTACCTTCCCGCCAGAGTGGTACCTATTTATCTACTTGCACTTTGACGTGCTTTCGAACTGCTAGGTTGGCAGGAGCTGGGACCGAGCAACGGGAGCTCACCCCGTCGCGGGGATTCGAACCGCCGACCTTCTGATCGGCAAGTCCTAGGCTCTGTGGTTTAACCCACAGCGCCACCTGTCCCTGTTGCATATGTACAGGGTTGCAATAGCTTGTATGGCTTCCATCACCTGCCTTCCCTGAGAGTCCTTGAATGCTCTCCTAAACAAAAGAATTTGTAAGTGAAGAAATGCTTCCAAACCATGGTCTATTGGTTCAGAAACGAAACAACAGTTTGCCCAAACTATGATTTGCAAACCAACTGCGAAGCATAGTTTCATATCCTGGTTTGGTGGTTATTCATGAACTATGGTGTTGGTTAGCCTACCATGTTAAACTAGGGGTGGCTAACCTGGAGCTCTGCAGATGCCCTTGGACTCCAGTTTCCATCATCCTCAGTCAGCGCGGCCAACCATCATGGATGATACAAGTTGTGGCCCTCAGAATGTTAGTAGACTCCAAGTCAGCATCCCAGCATTAAACCATAGCTTTGGTTTTGCCCAACTCTCTGCTGGTATTCTGCGACTGACCAGCTACCTTGGTAGCTGCTTCCTTCCCTGCTGCTATTGCCTGCTCAATACATTTTGGCACCTGAAGCACACCACAGAATGACAGCCACATTCCTGGCCAGGGAAGGAGTGGTGAGTGAAGCTCTACATCATGAACAAGTGGAGAATAAAGATCTGCATTGGGATCTGGTGCCCCTGTGAATCGTGCCACCCAAGGCAGTTGCCTGACCTTGTCTAATGGGTGGTCCGGCCCTGTCTGCTATTAACTCATGCACTGCCACACACCAGGGCTTAAGGAGAAGGGCTTTCCAGATGAGGAAGTATTCAGCCAGCCCTGGCATTGTGTACCATGTTTGATCATGTGAGGCTTGGCTCCCCTGTGCCCTTGTTCAGAACCACATTTCTACACAGAAGGAAGACTTCCTTTTTACAGAGTCTGTATTAAAAGGCCACCGCCCATCACACTTTCTCTGCTTGGAAATACTCATGTGAAGGTACCTCGTTAAATGCTTTCAACTGTTTAGCAGGGCTCTGCAACTGAAGTTACTCTTAGAGATGAAACACTCACCAACGCTGTGAAATCTTGGTCAAGGGTTTTATTACTTGACCAGTCACAAAAGCATTATGGTAGCAACTATATACAATCGTTAAAGCAGGAGCTGTAATGGCACACTTTAAGTTAGTCTCTCTCTCTCTCTCTCTCTCTCTCTCTCTCTCTCTCTCTCTCTCTCTCTCTCAATGGTGTGGTCACAGACACAGTCCATCTGCAGTCCTGGCAGATTTTCAGGCAGCATTCATTGGTCAGGGGTCTGCCATTTGCAAAAACGATAATTCCCCTTTTTATTGACACTTCCAGCCAAAGCTGCGCATGCTCAGAGTGCCGCTCCCATATATGAATGGGGACCTTCTTTTGCTTCACCTTCTCCGTGGGGTGGGGTGGATGGAGGGGTGGCTCAGCTGTGATCTGGGGGTGGTGGTAAATGTAGGTGTATGGCTTCTGGGATCCTCATCAACATTCCACGTACCCTCCAGTGCATCAGAGATGGCCTTTGCGATGGAAGCTCTGGTCCGTACTGAAATCCATGCTGAGGGGCCTACTGCTCATTCAGCTGGGCTCTGCATTCACCTTCCAAGTTACGGCCTGAGATGGGCACATCAAGCACCTCATCCATGAATGCGTCTTCTTCACAGGAGGTGAGCCGGGGTACTGAGATGCTTCTCCAGGGTCTCTACTAGTTCTGTACAGTTGCATAGGTTTTTTATCCCATGGAGCCCAGAGCCAATTGTATCAACAGCAGCCCCACACAAAACAGCACCTCGACGCCCCCACTCACTGAGGAAGGTATCCTGGACCTTCAGCCCCACTGAGAAGGTCAGGGTGTGGGCAATGAGGAACACAAACTATTCTGGCATGTGGAGAGGAGGGTCCACGCTATACTTCTGCAAGTGCTTAAGTGCCTTGGGACAAACCCTGCACAGGAGGTCAACAGACGCTTCAGTGTCCAGCAACAGGGCCTCCTGCCAGGATAAGCAAATGTCATGCAAATCTGTCGTCTCAATTGTCCTCTTTTTGGGTGATGCCTAAGTGCCCACCTGGATAAATTGGAACCTGGATTAAACCCATGGATTAAAACAAAAGTCAGGTGAAACTTATAATGCTGGCCTATTTTAGCAGCACCATGAATTAGGCTAGATTCTGCTTCATGTAAGGATGCAAAATTGCATGGAAAGAAGGTTTTCTCCACAAAATTACAAAACAACAACAACAACCTTTCCTGTTGCTGGACAATATGGAACCAATTGGCTAGAATCTTTGAGTATGGAAAGCCCCAAGAATCTGATTGGTCAGAATTCACATGGATTGGAAGCATCTGGAGCACCCGAGTCGCCTAGGCAACCAGATGAATTTCAGAAGAAGTAGATGTTTCTCCATCTCATCCTCATCACAAAGGACAGCGAAAAATGGCACAAAGGTGAGGCTGAGATCCTATTGTGCAGAGGGTGCCATATGGGTGAGATATTGTGCCCCCAACAAGTGTTGCCCAATTTCATTTGAAAGGCATGAGGAAATTGAAAGACAAGAGCAAGGTCCTGGGGTGGATCTACACCAGGCACCCCCAAACTCCATCCCCCAGATGTTTTGGGACTACAATTCCCATCATCCCTGACCACTGGTCCTGTTAGCTAGGGATGATGGGAGTTGTAGTCCCAAAACATCTGGAGGGCTGAGTTTGGGTGTGCCTGATCTACACACGGGGAGGGGGGCACTATAAATAACTGAGACATTAAATCATTATAACAAAAGAAGAACAGCCTATAGAAACACTATACAGTGGTACCTTTGGTTCTCAAACTTAATCCGTTCCGGAAGTCCGCTCCAAAACCAAAGCGTTCCAAAACCAAGGCATGCTCTCCCATAGAAAGTAATGCAAAATGGATTCACCTGTTCCAGACTTTTAAAAACGACCCCTAAAACAGCAATTTAACATGGATTTTATTATCTAACAAAACCATTGATCCATAAAATGAAAGCAATAATCAATGTACTGCAGACACACAATCAGTCAATCCATTAGTAGCTGAACTGGGTTCCACCGTCACAAAAACAAAACAAAAAGAGCAGCAAAAACGCAAAATAAACAGTGAACACAGACAGACCTCAGCGTAACACTCAAAACGTGTGGCACTCAAAATGGACCGCATTCAGCTTCCAGAAAAAGTTCGCAAACCGAAACACATACGTCCGGGTTTGCAGTGTTTGGTTTCCAAGTTGTTTGAGTACCAAAGCGCTTGAGAACCAAGGTACCAACTGTAGAAACGTTTTGTGCTCTCCAGCGCCATCTGGTGTTGCATGTTTATAACACAATGAAATCGCTGTTTTCTGACTAATGTAGCTGAGTCCCTGGTTTCCCCCCAAGAGTTCTTTTTTCAGCAACCTAAATTGCAGGGTGGGTGGAGTTCTATAGCCCTTGCTGTGTTGGGAAAGGGAAATCCCTACTGATCTACTCAAACTCACCCAGAAATGTATCCATCACTCCTTATCTACCTTCTGCCCCAACCATGTCCGACTGCCCCTTTCTTTCGCCTTGCACCTTTTCACATCCCTGATGGTAGTGTTTCCTCTCCTGTCCTCCACGCAGCAGGCCCACTTCCACGATGTCCTTAAGAGTGCTAGCACGCCTCGATCTCTTGATGGAACCGCTGAGGATCAGCAGCGCCATCTGCTCTGCTGGAAGCTTGCTGTTGGAGTTTATTTCCCTGAGTACTCCCTACTGGGTACTGCAAAGTACCAAAAAAGGCCTGGTTCACAGTGGCCTCTGGACTATCTGCGTGGGTCCAGATTGCACCATGTATTGGTTCAATCTACTCGGTAAGGTCTTTTCCACTTCTATATCTTTCTATAAAATGCAAGCATGTCAAAACCAGGTTTCCAAGTATTTGGACCTGCCTTTAAGTTAGGAACAGACAGTGGTGTTTCCACTCAATGTACAGACCTCCAGATTCTGCTATATATAAACAGTAAAATACAATAATAGACAAGAAATAATGGCATGTATGATTGCTCAGGTAGTATCAACACATAGGGCTACGGCAAGGATTACCAGGTCAGGAACGTCCTAGACCCTGAGATTTCAGAGCCCAAACCTGAGACCTAGTCTGATGATATATGCTGTGACAATGCTTTTTTACAAAATGTTTAAATATATATATTGAATTTCCCATAAGCTCACCATCTAGTGTCACATTTGTACAATGCACATAAAACATTCTATTTGCAGAGGTGTCCCACTGGTGATGTCATGGGGTGGGCCCCTATGATGTCATTAAACATTAACCACAGTCACTGAGACTATTTGCAAAGATGAAGCTTAATTGCGAGAGGGAAGGAGGAAAGGGAGGGGGGCAGGATGTAGTGTCTTCCTCCTCCTCCTCCTCCTCCTCCTCCTCTCACTGATCTGGTGACTTGTGCTCTGCACCTGCCACTTGGAGGAGGGAAGGCAAACCTGAAGACTCCAGCTCAACCCTGGAGGTCTAGTACCCCTAGTTGCAGCAATGGGTAGTAGAACTCAAAAAAAGACTCTTAAACATGCCCATATTTCACACATTAAAAGAGGCAGAGGGTTATGAAGATATTTTGAAATAGTGTAAGAAATAAAGGCCTCCAGCATATGACATAGAAATGGATTTTCCAGTTGATTGGAGACACTCAAATTATACATCATTTCTCCCCAGCAATTGCCAGATTCCACCAGGAGTGCCAGCTTGACCCCATTACTGTGGCTGCCTGGGGCCGTCGGTGCCATGCAGCGTGCATGGCCCTGGCACCAAAATTTGTGGATGCCCGGCCCCTTCATGGGGAATTTTGTGGGTTCTCGGGTATGCAGGGAGCCAGTACCTATGGATTCCAAATGTTCTCGTACCATAATGATAGCTGCCGCATCTTCCACCTTTGTGCAAAAGATATAGTTAGTTAAGGGTACTTTCTGGGAGCCGTAGTTCTGTGGCACTAAAACTACAGTGCCCAGAATTCTTTGGGGGCAAGTCATGTGCTTGAAATATGTGGCGTGTACATTGATGGCCTCCGAAATCCCACCAGCGCTAGGATTCTACGAACAGAACGACCATGTTGTGAGTCATGGATGACACCCACACCATATGTTTAAAGAGCATGGCTTCCTCTAAAGAATCCTGGGAACTGTAGTGAGCGGTAAAACTACAGTTCCCAGAATTCTTTGGAGGAAGCCATGTACCCCCAAAGTGCTGCTTCTACCAGTTAATGTTACAAAAGTGACATCAAGTTTGTCAAAACGTTTGACTTTACCGGGGGGGGGGGGTAAGACAAATTTGTGGAGGGTGTAGCTGACAAGAGCTACTCGTCATGATGACGGCATTCAAACCTCCAAGATCAGAAGGTGCATGTCTTTGAATACCAGTCCCTGGGGAACAGCAGTTGGACAGGGTCATTGTGCTCACATCCTGACTACGGACTTCCCATGCTGTGCACCCGGGGGCAGGGCTAGCCACCCACGGGGGCGGGGTGAGTATCCCAGGGGGTGGGGGGGTGATGTCACCTCCCTCAGGGATGACACCCCAGGGCGGTCCTACACACAAGTAGGAGTCTGGCAGAGACACATGCCTGACTGGCATGTTCTCTCCCTCCTGGTCATTCGTTCGGCAGATTCAAAATCTTTCTCCAGCCCGAACATCACAGCAACTGATACCTTAGAGGCATCAGCACACTTCAGGATCAGCAGAGTATAGGCAGTCAGCATACAGACTCAGTAGCGCAGTAGTGTTTATTTACATATACACACTTGGAGCATCGTAACTCAGCTGCTTCCTCTTCAGCATCAGACAGCAAAGAGAAAGGACAAACGTCCTACATCCCAGAAATTCGGTAATACAAACATCCTGTCTCCATGACTTCCCACAATGTGGAATGAAAACATACACAGTCATTTGATAAGAACAATCCCATGACTGCAGCACGGGAAAAGAATCCTAACACTAGCCACCTGTGGGGGCAGGGCGAGCGTCCCAGGAGGGCGGGGCAGTGATGTTACCCCCCCTCAAGGATAACACCCAGGGCAGACCGCATCCACTGCACCCCCCTTTCTCCGCCAGTGTCCATAGGGACTGCGGCAAAGAGGATGCTGGTCTAGATAGGCCATTGGTTTGATCCAACAAGACTCCTCTTAAATTCTTACGTTAATTTTCTTCTTTAAGCTGGGAGCAAGAATGGGTTGCCTCGACCGCTAGCCTACTCAGAGTAGACCCACTAAAATTAATGGACATGACTAACTCAGGTGCACTGATTTCGGTGGCACTACTTTGTCGGCGACCACTCAGTCACTCTACCTGGAATCCTTGCCCTTCCTAACACTTCCTTTTCTGAACCGCAGCCATACATATCCACTTCACCCGAGCCTTCCTGGTGATTGCATGTTTCTGCAGCTTCTTTTCTCTGTTGTGCGTCTGCATCTCGTTTGAACGTGACCTGCTATTCAACATATCCGTGCTGAGAGCCGCCGTCACCTTCAGCCTCGTTTCAGGTAACCCCAATGCGGGTTCTTTTCCCAGAAGGGCCCATGTGGCTCACTGGTAGAGCACCTGCTTTGCATACAGAAGCTCCCAGGTTCAATCCCCACCATCTCCATTAGAGTTGAGAAAGAAGACTCCTTTCCTGGGAATCCCAAAGAGCTGCTGTTAGCTAGTCAGGATTCTTCAACCTTGAGTCCCTAGATCCATCGTTGACCATTGACAAAGCTGCCTGGGTAGGACAGGATTTGTTGTAGGCCAACAATACCTGGGGACCCAAGAATGAAGACTCCTGTCCTGAAACCCTGGCCTACCTGGTGGCAAATATGTCAAATCCCCAGTCCCCACAGGTCCAAAGTCCAAACCGAAGCACAGTCCCACAGAGATCCTGGAGCACCCAAGCTGTGGTCCATCAACAATGGACAGTGGAGCAGACACAGCACCTCAGCTCCACTGCCATTTTATGCCTTGCATGCTGATTGCGGCATTTGGGTTTGGCAAGGCATGGGATCCTCACCTGTTCCAAGCCTATGCCAGCTGAGGAATCACCCACCTCCTCCCAGAGCTAGCGAACCCCACCTGGCCAGCTAGGGAGCTGGGCTGTGGGCCCTTGCCTGCCTCAGCCTCCTGGAGTGCCCCACTCGCTGCTCCCTATGCCTCAGAGCCTGCCATGTTTGTGGAGACAGGGTCCCCTTTGGCTCTGGTGATGGGTTCTGTTGTTCCGGTTCCTGTGCACTGCCCTCCATCTCTTCGTCATCCTCTGTCACCCCAGGAGTGCTTCCTGCACCAACCTCACCTTCCCCATCTCCAGTTTGCCCTGGTGTGTGCCAGTTCTGGCTACACCAGGCAGAGGGCCTTCTTGGTAGTGGCGCCCGCCCTGTGGAATGCCCTCCCATCAGATGTCAAGGAAATAAACAACTACCTGACTTTTAGAAAACATCTGAAGGCAGCCCTGTTTAGGGAACTTTTCAATGTTGGATGTTTTATTGTGTTTTTAATATTCTGTTGGAAACTGCGCAGAGTGGCTGGGGAGGCCCAGCCAGATGGGCGGGGCATAAGTTGTTGTTGTTGTTGTTCTATTTATACACCCCTCGCCAGAATCTTCTTCAGGTAAATTCTTACCTTTATTTCCAGGCCTTGATGGACTGTGAGCTGTGACTATTGGGCATGTGTGTTGGGGTTGGTTGTTTTGTGTGTGTGTGTATGTTAGTGTTTTATATTATTTTCTTCCTATGCAATTATGTTGTTTTGTTTTTAATTTATATATTCTCATTTTTAAAATCTCCTTTTTTGCCCCCAGCTCTCTTAATCTTGATTGGTATGGCGATATTTACATACGTGCAGAGGCACTCGCAACCTTACACCAATTATTCACTCGCATTCGGTTCGTCCTATGGCTTGGGCTGGGCTTCCGTTCCTATGCACCTCATTACAGGTGAGTCGAGCTTTGCACATGGGCCCCAAACATCTGCAGGTGTGGCCTTAGCCTTGTCACTTCTTAATGATGAGAGGGGGAAAGGCTAGAGTTGAGCCTAGAAATGGAGGAGAATCAGATGGCAGACATTCTGGGTGGTTTTGGTTCAGACTGCAAGGGAACAATACCATTTTTGGATGAATCCCTCTCTTTTTTTACAGTGGTATCTCTGGTTACATACGCTTCAGGTTACATACGCTTCAGGTTACAGACTCCGCTAACCCAGAAATAATGCTTCAGGTTAAGAACTTTGCTTCAGGATGAGAACAGAAATCGTGCTCCGGTGGTGCGGCAGCAGCAGGAGGCCCCATAAGCTAAAGTGGTGCTTCAGGTTAAGAACAGTTTCAGGTTAAATACAGACCTCCAGAACGAATTAAGTACTTAACCTGAGGTACCACTGTAATTTAAAGAAAGCCTCCCTGCAAGTTGGGACAGGGGATAAATTTGATTAAGTTCACATTAAAGGCAAAACTACCAATATCACACTTTCCAAACTAATATGAAAACGGAAACCCGGCCATCCTTCAAAATTCTCACTTCTCCAAATTTTGTGTTGCAGTTCTACAACCAATGTTTGCAAAAAATATATATGCATATGTTAAGGGAAAAGGTGCATCAAAACGACTATATTAGTGAAAGGAACGTACAAAATTCACTTTCCAGTGGTACCTTGGTTCTCAAACTTAATTCGTTCCGGAGGTCTGTTCCAAAACCAAATAGTTCCAAAACCAAGGTGCACTATCCCATAGAAAGTAATGCAAAATGGATTGGTCCATTCCAGACTTTTAAAAACAACACCTAAAACACCAATTTAACATGAATTTTACTATCTAACGAGACCATTGATTCATAAAATGAAAGCAATAAACAATGTACTGCAGTCACACAATCAGTCAGTAGCTGAACTGGGTTCCACACAGTCACAAAAAACAAAAACAAAAAAGAGCCGCAAAAACAAAATCACAAAATAAATAGCAAAAACCAGACAGACCTCAGCATAACACTCAAAATGGAAGTGTGGCACTCAAAACAGAAGCGTTACACTCAAAATGGAGCACGTTCGGCTTCCAAAAAATGTTTGAAAACTGGAACACTTACTTCTGGGTTTGCAGTGTTTGAGTACCAAGGTGTTTGAGAACCAAGGTACCACTGTATTGGGGGGAATGTGTTTGCAAAATTGTGTACGTTAGCCCAAAGTGCGCACAACAATTTATTTAGTTGTGAAAAATTGCACTAAAAAGCTGGATGGTTTTAATGAGGATTTCTTTAAAAAAGAAAAATTCAGATTGCTGCAGAAATGTAGAGAACTGAATTTAAAATTGACTAAGTCTGGCCCTAGCTCAGGGATCTCAGAGAACCGATGGGCTTATACAAACTCCTTTCTTTCACGTGTTAGTTTTTATTTATTTATTGGGTGTGAACATTTGCCAGACATTGCTCAGAGTTTCACACTATGAGGTTCTTTCTCACGCTGCAGAGAATGGAGGAGTCAAGAGCAGGTGAGAGGATCTGAGTCTTACATGTCTTTGCAGTGAAGAGGAATAGGGATTGCCAAATATGTAGATTGTTATATCTATATTTATACTGGAAGGAGTAAAGAAAGGGGCAGCTGAGACAGTATTTCAAAAGCTAGCAAAAAACCCCAGCAATTCAGCTATAATCCTAAAAGAGAAAATTCTAATTTTCTAGTGGTAAAAATGAGGGTGGGGAGAGAGAGCTCAGAAAAACGCACACCATGTGAACTCATAACACCAAACTAAGGGATGAAATCCAGAATTCGCTCCCACTCAGGTTGATAATTTGCTTCTCCTGGACTTTCTGATTGCCCAGGAAATGCATAATTTGTTTTGCAGCATGTCTGGGGAATGGGGGGGGGGGACTTTAAGAAACGAGCTGTGCAGACTAGCTGAGGAGGGTTTCCCCCCACTCCTCTCTGCTCATCAAATGATCTGATGACCAGAGAAGCATGAGGAATTGGATTCCTATCAGGACCTGAGGTGTTTTGTATTTTAGGAGCTAAAATCTCTCTCTCTCTCTCTCTCTCCCTCTCCTCCTGTTTTCTTCCACCTAGCTGTACTACAAATATTGAGTCACAAAACATCTACCTACTAGGTCTGGGGGCCCAGCTCTGCCACCGGGACCAGAAGAACTGCCAATAAGAGCATGGCTGCTCTCCTGTCATGAAATCTCAGACGTGGGATATTTCTCTGGGTTAAGTATAGCCATATTCTTGGTACCACGATGGAGTAGGACACAATGATAGAAAGTGCCTTTCTTGTCTCAGTGTAAATGTAATGGCCAAACCATGGTTTGACTTACATCAGTGGGCTTCTGGTTTGCCCCAGTTCCCATGAACAAACCATGGCTTGCCATGACATAACACTTTGGCAAACTGTGACTTACTCAAAGGATGTTTTGCCTCCACAATTCAGCTGGAAGCCAGGGGCTGACCTGCTTGTGTGAACTATAGTTGTCCTGCATATCTTACTAGACCTTGACTTATCCACTCTTGAGATTAAAAAGGCTATTTTCAGTGCTAACTCATTGTGATGATTTTCCCTGCAAGTATAATGCTATATAAACAGAGTGTTGGACTTTGTCTGGGGAGACCCAAGTTCGGATGCTTGCCTGCTGGGTGGCATGGGTTCAGCCACCATCTCTCAGCCTGACCTACCTCGTAAGATGGCTGTATGGGTCGAAAAAGCAGGGAGGAGAAACACGCCTCCGTAGAGAATGACCCAGATAAACAAAACAAACCAACAAAACCGACGTGATAAATAAAGTGCATTGCTTCACCCCTCATTTGGTTTGCCTCCTTTTTGGCATGTCTACACTGCAGAAGATGGACTGAAGAAATGTGAACATTTTTGGAGCTTTAATGATGGTATGAAAAACGTTCTCACTGCATTCAGTACAACTGCACTGTTTTCTGTACTGGAGTAAGTTTTGGTAAAGCATGTTCTCCAATAAATGAGAGCACGTGTTGCGGTGTGGGCCGCCAGGCCAGGCCTCTTGTTGCCAGGCAGGTTAATAGTTGTTGCCTGGCATCATGATTGGGTAACCGGGTTGCTGGGGCAAATTGTATGTTGCAAATTGGGTGGGTGGAACCATAGTCTTTAAATATTGGTGCACTCTGGTTTCTCTTTCTCTTTGCAGAGTGCATCGGATCACCCGCCCGCCCGCCCTCTTTTCCGGCTGATCTTGCTTTGCCTGTCATGGGGTCGTCTGCTTTGGAGCAGGGGCCTAGTAGGAATTTTGCCATTTGGTGATTGGCTGTGCCATTTGGTTTTTGCCTACTACTCAGCAATTCGTCACAACTTGTAAGGTTGCGGTTAGGCATTGGTTATAATATGCTGGTGGTGGAGGGGTCAGGATAGGCTGTGCCTGCCCCTCCAATTGCGCTGAAGGGAATTCCGTTAAAGGAATCCTGGGGCTTGCCACGATTTCATCCAATCCCTGTCATGGGAGCAGGGCCAGCAAGCTTTCGGGGAGCTGCTGGGGTGAGTGGTGTGGGTTCGACGCTTAGCTCAAATGACCCCCAGTTTGACTTTCTCTTCTACTGGCTGCTGATCGGACCTCGGGATGTCAGTTCTGTCCCAGGCAGGGGCACAGATAGTCATAACCAATGTCTAAACAACCACTCACTGATTTTGTATTTTAATAAAGTTGTGGCCAAAATAGTGCCCAAAAACCAAAACAAAAATTACATGTTATGTGTGAAGTTATTTGAGGGGTGGCCTGGGGACCTACACACGCAATCTGCAAGGACCCGGTAAAACACTGACCATGGAGGGAGTCTATTGGCTAGTGCCTGTGCTGTCTTGTGATTTAATCTCGCTTTCACACTATCACTGGGTGTTTAGAGGCACGGTGCCCCTTATGCATTGCCCCAAAGGAGGAAATGCACCACTGAAAGAAAGAGGACCAAAGTAGCTTACCTGTGAAGCAACAGTTCTGACATGTAGCACTTCCCTTGATAATTCCAGGTGTCAGGCAGGGGCAATACTGAGGCAACAGCAGCCTCCAAATAAATAGGTTTCTCCCTGCAAACAGCTATAGTCAAGGTCTCCGGGAGCTGTCTCAGTTTTCAAGCTTCTCAAAAGACTGGTGTTCTCCAGGTGCAGAAAATAAGAGTTCGGAAGGCTAAAGTTGGTATTCTGCTTTCAGCTGGCAAAAATCCCCTTATATTACATGCAGGTCCTGCTATCCAAATGCCTGTTATACAAAAATTCACTTATCCAAACATGTACCCTAGCCTCGCTATACACAGCACAGATTCAGATATCCAAATAGCTGGACCTGCATGTAGTACAATAAACAAATGAGCAGCCTTAAACCAGCCTTACTTTTTGATGTTTTGCTGGTTTGTGGCAGCTGTTTTGCCAGACACCATGTGGGGGAGGTGGGCTGGAGAGAGTGGACAAATAAGGGAGCATTTCAGAGGTTTCAGAGCATTTTCTGGGGGGTTTGTTTTTTGTCATTTGGGACTCAAAATTCCATGGCCGGGACCGCATTGGAAAATTTCCCATAGGACTCAATGGAAATTGTTGACTTGTTATGTGAACGCTCGCTTAACAAATGATTTCCTGAGAATGCATTGTGGTCAGATAGCAAGACCTGCATGTGCCATGTGGGGAGGGCCACCATTTGCTGTTCAGCCTCAGACAGCAGCATGTCATGGGCCAGCCCCAAATGCTTGGAAGGCAACATCTTCATCAATTTAAACGTAGGGCAAATGCCGCCTCTTAAAGCTAAGCATTGCAATGCAAGGCTTGTTGCTGTTTAGTTGTTTAGTCGTGTCCGACTGTTCGTGACCCCATGGACCAGAGCACAGCAGGCACTCCTGTCCTCCACTGCCTCCCACAGTTTGGTCAAACTCATGCTGGTAGTTTCGAGAACACCGTCCAACCATCTCGTCCTCTGCCGTCCCCTTCTCCTTGTGCCCTCCATCTTTCCCAACA